GCCTCTGGCTTGCAAAAGCACCCGTGTCGTCCGCCCTCGTGAGCGCAGGGGTCGTCAATCTTGCCCACAGGACGGCCAGAGGTGGCCTCTGGTGCTTGCTACCCGAGCGCTCAGCCCTCCCTTGCAGTGCTCGGCCACTATCTTCCGCGCTGAAAAGAGCCTGCCATCAAATCATCCGGGGCGGGTCTCTTGCAGACGGGTTGCTCCGGCCTCAGCGTTGGCGACAGCGTCGAAGGAGCACACTTGAATTCTGCTGGGGTCGTGTCGATGCATTGGGTCGGACCAGGGCAAGGTCTCCACTTGTGCAGCATCTAGCTTCCGCTGCGAGCCTCTCAGGTCTTGCTGCGCGAATCATTGTGCTGCGCATAGCGCCTCTGGCTTGCAAAAGCACCCGTGTCGTCCGCCCTCGTGATCGCAGGGGTCGTCAATCTTGCCCACAGGACGGCCAGAGGTGGCCTCTGGTGCTTGCTACCCGAGCGCTCAGCCCTCCCTGGCAGTGCTCGGCCACTATCTCTACTCCGGACAGAGCCCGCCACTAAATCATACAGGGCGGGTTTCTTGCAGACGGGTTGCTCCGGCCTCAGCGTTGGCGACAGCGTCAAAGGTGCACGCTCTGAGATTCTGTCGGGGTCGTGTCGGTGCATCGGGTCGGACCAGGGCAAGGTCTCCTCGTTGTGCAGCATCTAGCTTCCGCTGCGAGCCTCTCAGGTCTTGCTGCGCGAATCATTGTGCTGCGCATAGCGCCTCTGGCTTGCAAAAGCACCCGTGTCGTCCGCCCTCGTGATCGCAGGGGTCGTCAATCTTGCCCACAGGACGGCCAGAGGTTGCCTCTGGTGCTTGCTACCCGAGCGCTCAGCCCTCCCTGGCAGTGCTCGGCCACTATCTTCTGCGCCGGACAGAGCCTGCCACCAAATCATCCGGGGCGAGTCTCTTGCAGACGGGTTGCTCCGGCCTCAGCGTTGGCGACAGCTTCAAGGGAGCACGCTCTGTAATCCTGCTGGGGTCGTGTCGATGCATTGGGTCGGACCAGGGCATGGTCTCGTTGTTGTGCAGCATCTAGCTTCCGCTGCGAGCCTCTCAGGTTTTGCTGCGCGAGTCATTGTGCTGCGCATAGCGCCTCTGGCTTGCAAAAGCACCCGTGTCGTCCGCCCTCGTTATCGCAGGGGTCGTCAATCTTGCCCACAGGACGGCCAGAGGTTGCCTCCGGTGCTTGCTACCCGAGCGCTCAGCCCTCATTGGCAGTGCTCGGCCACTATCGTCTGCTCCGGACAGAGCCTGCCACCAAATCATCCAGGGCGCGTCTCTTGCTTTGCCACTATCTCTACTCCGGACAAAACCTGCCACCAAATTATCCGGGGCGGGTCTTTTGCAGAAGGGCTGCTCTGGCCTCAGCGTCGGTGACAGGTTCAAGGAAGCACGCTCTGGGATTCTGTTGGGATCGTGTCGAAGAATCTGATCGGACCAGGGCAAGCCTCGTTGTGCAGCATCTAGCTTCCGCTGCGAGCCTCGCAGGTCTTGCTGCGCGAATCATTGTGCTGCGCATAGCGCCTCTGGCTTGCAAAAGCACCCGTGTCGTCCGCGCTCGTGATCGCAGGGGTCGTCAATCTTGCCCACAGGACGGCCAGAGGTGGCCTCTGGTGCTTGCTACCCGAGCGCTCAGCCCTCCCTGGAAGTGCTCGGCCAGTATCTTCTGCGCCGGACAGAGCCTGCCACCAAATCATCCGAGGCGAGTCTCTTGCAGACGGGTTGCTCCGGCCTCAGCGTTGGCGACAGCTTCAAGGGAGCACGCTCTGGAATTCTGTTGGGATCTTGTCGATGAATCGGGTTTGACCAGGGCAGGGTCTCCTCGTTGTGCAGCATCTAGCTTCCGCTGCGAGCCTCCCAGGTCTTGCTGCGCGAATCATTGTGTTGCGCACAGCGCCTCTGGCTTGCAAAAGCACCCGTGTCGTCCGCCCTCGTGATCGCAGGGGTCGTCAATCTTGCCCACAGGACGGCCAGAGGTGGCCTCTGGTGCTTGCTACCCGAGCGCTCAGCCCTCCTTGCCAGTGCTCGGCCTCTATCTTCTGCGCCGGATAGGGCCTGCCACCAAATCATCCGGGGCGGGTCTCTTGCAGACGGGTTGCTCCGGCATCAGCGTTGGCGACAGCGTCAAAAGAGCACGTTCTGGGACTCTGCGGGGGTCGTGTCGATGCATCGGGTCGGACCAGGGCAAGGTCTCCTCGTTGTGCAGCATCTAGCTTCCGCTGCGAGCCTCTCAGGTCTTACTGCGCGAATCATTGTGCTGCGCATAGCGCCCTTGGCTTGCAAAAGCACCCGTGTCGACCGCCCTCGTGATCGCAGGGGTCGTCAATCTTGCCCACAGGACGGTCAGAGGTGGCCCCTGGCGCTTGCTACGCGAGCGCTCAGCCCTCCCTGGCAGTGCTCGGCCACTATCTTCTGCGCCGGACAGAGCCTGCCACCAAATCATCCGGGGCGGGTCTCTTGCAGACGGGTTGCTCCGGCCTCAGCGTTGGCGACAGCTTCAAGGGAGCACGCTCTGTAATCCTGCTGGTGTCGTGTCGATGCATCGGGTCGGACCAGGGCAAGGTCCCCTCGTTGTGCAGCATCTAGCTTCCGCTGCGAGCCTCTCAGATCTTGCTGCGCGAATCATTGTGCTGCGCATAGCGCCTCCGGCTTGCAAAAGCACCCGTGTCGTCCGCCCTCGTGATCGCAGGGGTCGTCAATCTTGCCCACAGGACGGCCAGAGGTGGCCTCTGGTGCTTGCTACCCGAGCGCTCAGTCTCTGTTGGCAGTGCTCGGCCACTATCTTCTGCGCCGGACAGGGCCTGCCACCAAATCATCCGGGGCGGGTCTCTTGCAGACGGGTTGCTCCGGCCTCAGCGTTGGCGACAGCAGCGTCTGAGGAGCACGCTCTGGAATTCTGCTGGGGTCGTGTCGATGCATTGGTTCGGACCAGGGCAAGGTCTCCTCGTTGTGCAGCATCTAGCTTCCGCTGCGAGCCTCTCAGGTCTTGCTGCGCGAATCATTGTGCTGCGCATAGCGCCCCTGGCTTGCAAAAGCACCCGTGTCGTCCGCCCTCGTGATCGCAGGGGTCGTCAATCTTGCCCACAGGACGGCCACAGGTTGCCTTTGCTGCTTGCTACCCGAGCGCTCAGCCCTCCTTGGCAGTGCTCGGCCACGATCTCTGCTCCGGGCAGAGCCTGCCACCAAATAATCATCCGGGGCGGGTCTCTTGCAGACGGGTTGCTCCGGCATCAGCGTTGGCGACAGCGTCAAAAGAGCACGTTCTGGGACTCTGCGGGGGTCGTGTCGATGCATCGGATCGGACAAGGGCGAAGTCCCCTCGTTGTGCAGCATCTAGCTTCCGCTGCGAGCCTCTCAGGTCTTGCTGCGCGAATCATTGTGCTGCGCATAGCGCCCTTGGCTTGCAAAAGCACCCGTGTCGTCCGCCCTCGTGATCGCAGGGGTCGTCAATTTTGCCCACAGGACGGTCAGAGGTGGCCCCTGGTGCTTGCTACGCGAGCGCTCAGCCCTCCCTGGCAGTGCTCGGCCACTATCTTCTGCGCCGGGCAGAGCCCGCCGCCAAATCATCCGGGGCGTGTCTCTTGCAGACCGGTTGTTCCGGCCTCAGCGTTGGCGACAGCGTCAAAGGTGCACGCTCTGAGATTCTGCCGGGGTCGTGTCGGTGCATCGGGTCGGACCAAGGCGAGGTCCCCTCGTTGTGCAGCATCTAGCTTCCGCTGCGAGCCTCTCAGGTCTTGCTGCGCGAATCATTGTGCTGCGCATATCGCCTCTGGCTTGCAAAAGCACCCGTGTCGTCCGCCCTCGTGATCGCAGGGGTCGTCAATCTTGCCCACAGGACGGCCAGAGGTGGCCTTTGGCCTCTGGCGCTTGCTACCCGAGCGCTCAGCCGTCCTTGGCTTTGTTCGGCCATTATTTGCTGCACTGGACGGAGCTTGCCACCAAAATATCCAGGTCGTGTCCTTTGCAGACCTGTTGCCCCGGCCCCGGTGTGGG